GCTCATCTAATTGCGGTTGCTGCTCGTATGATGTGGAAACCTGTCTATTAGAAACCACATTTCACAGGTGACTGAACAGCCATCAGATGGCAACAGTTTTCATTTGTTACTGACCTCCCTTCCCTGCCGCAGCTTAAGGGTGAATGGTCCAATATTCCATTGTCAGCCCAGAGCCAAACCCCTCCTGCTTTGTATAGTGAATTATAAAATACCAATGTTTTTCAGTTTGTGCTGAAACAGCACTTTTAACCAGCCTTTTCTCATCTAGGCARCAGCCTCATAAGAGAACGGCAAATTCTTCACTACTCAATTATGCAAAGTTTGAGGGCATTTTGGGCCATGATTRTGGAGTACATCGATACATTTTCATACACAGAAGGTATTTACTCAAAACATCAYGGGCAGATGAGACTTGGTATTTCACAGAGACAGGATCAGAGCCTTCTCGGAGAAGCTGATGTGACAGTGACTAGAACAAAAGCAGTCCTTCCAGTGATAGACTGAAAGACAATTCCACTCCCAAAATCAAATASAGAACTTAGTACGGTTAATTTAAACTGGGGATCCTTTAAAAAGACCTCATCAAATTTTACACCCTCCAGATCTCTGGCTCCATCAATGACACAAMGGATTCAGAAAGTGACAGAACAAATCTCCTGTCTTGCCAAGCCCTCTGTATCTGGCTGGCCACATATCTTCCCACCAGACAAGTACACACCACATGTGAAGAAACTTTCCTCTCCACARTAAACAGCCGTTTGGTTGTTACAAAGATTTTGTGTTCAGTCCTCAGAGCACTCACAGTCATTGCACAAGCCCAGGTACGTTACGCTCTGCTCTCAGATAGCATGCATCCAATGTAATACAATAAACASTGGACTGTGCAGAACCTGCAGAGAATTCTACTCGGATGGCAATCGCAAACAAATGCAATGAATAACATTTACTTGTCATTTACATTTAGATTTCTTAAGCACAGCCTTCCAGAAAGCACACTGCAATAACACACACACACAGCCAGCTGTATGGCTGCACCTCCAATGAAACATATCAGCAATCCAGGCCACCACACCCCAAAGCTAAGCTCTGTTCCACTTCTCCAGCTCCTCTGAGCCTCTGGCTGTCTTCAGCAGCATGGAAGAACTGGCCTCTCCAAAGTGACTAGTGTCGAAGAGGGCTTTGAAGGTCTGTAGACCAACAAGGTCTGCCMGAGCATCTGTCAGGTGCAAGTTCCCAAGGTCAAGGACCCTCATCAAGAACACCGGCAAGAGCTCCCTGATATTTAACTCTTCAAGCATTTATTCTTCTGCAAAGAGACAAGGTCTGAAAAACATATACAGCAAACAGAATGATTTTGGCATATTTTGCCCTCAAGGCCAACTATTCAAGCACTGTTTCTAGTCTATGTAAATTTTTCCACCAGATAAAAAGAAATCTGAATTTCTTTACAAGACTGGGTTTTTCAGAAGTGTTACAGATCAACAAAATCAGTTTTCTACAGCTGAGCCTTAGAAAAGGCTGGATCTAAAATACAGAATGCTCACAAACCCAGTAACAAATACCAGGGTCAGGGTTTTAACATTATTCTCTGGTATAATATGGTAGCTGTAATCAGCTTTTCATATGATCTTGCATTCTAAATATATCACCATGAGTTCTATTGGAGGAAAATGGCATTTATTGTGAAATTAATACATGTAATTAGGCACATGAAGAAGGGTTTGCTGGATCTGAACCCTTTATTGTAAATCCTTTGTGGCACAGATTCCATCCCATGCTAGCCCTTTTGCATTTTTAACATAATTTTCAAGACAATGTCAGTGGAAGAAATACTCTTAGCTTCAGTAACCATTTAAAAACTTCCAGAAAAAAAAAATAACTATTACAACTTTCCCATTTGTGCCATGGATTGATTGATATCTAAATATGAATTACAGAATTTGAAGGAAGCTCAACACACATTAACATATGAATGACATGCAGAACAATTGCTCTGAATTACTACCAGCAAAATCAAAATGCAAYTGCTTTTAGGTATGCAGATTGGAAACGTAGTGTCAGGACTGCAAGTGAGAACCTAAGAAGTGCAAAGTTCAGGGAAAAGCCATGTATGCAGCTGCTCCAAAAACAACCAGAGTCAAATAAAAGTCTGAAAGCAATTATTTGGGGTGAATATCGTACACAGACCGCTGCACTAAGCTTCTATAATTAAACAAGACAAAAGTTCAGATGGTGCCTAATAAGCCATTTACTACATTAATTATATTCAAGTGTGGCAGTCTAATGCTTGGTAATAACTAACAACAAGGGAAATAATTTAAAGAAAGTATCTGATGTTGTAAATTTCTCTGTTTTTCATTCATCAGTCCCAATGTTGCCAGCCAGCCTTTCTAATATACTTCAAACACATGAAAGRGATGCTGCTTAGTGTCAGGAAGAGCTATTTCAGGGTTGTAAACCTTCAGGCTGAGGAATCCAACAATCTTACTCGGCAAAAATGATCTCTTCACTACAAAAGTAGCAGCAAAGTCAGATTTTCCATTCCTTGAAGCAAGTCCCTATGTCTTTGTTCCACAGTTAGGATGCCACAGGGGCAACCAATCATTTTTTTTGTAGCAACAACAGCATCTTAGCAGACCTTTGCAGATCAAGGGATTTCCCACTGACCCTATTCCCTGGATTTGCCTTCACAATGATCACACAGCCTTTTTACACATCTGTGATTTTAACAGTAATTTCAGCAAATTCTTAACAAGGCAATTAATATTAGAGAGGTATTTAATATATTTTGGCTTATTTTAATGCCATTAGTAGCTAAACACATGGAAAATGAGCCTATACCATATGCCCAAGTACATCTCTGTAGACCRCTAGCCAATTTCTTAGCAAATACAGAGAAGTTTCCAAAACACAGTCTGAAAATTACTGCAGAGAGATTTGCATACTATTTCTGATGGACCAGTAGCATTCCAACAACTCATGTAAAATCCAGCATGCTCCAATAGAATATGCAGTAGGTAGCACACACAGCATCAATTCACAATGTAATWGTGATGCTATTCTAGTTCATTTAACTAATCTGCAACAGGGAAAAAAATCTGCAGTATTACAATTATTTTTCGTTTTCTTAATTTTAAATCAGGAAACAAAATCTACAGATTTTTCTTAYGTACAACTCTATGTTCAACCTAAGAAAGCATCATTTTGCAGATTTCAAAGAACAAGAGATAAGGTGAACATACAACTTTACCCATTATGTCTTTCCACCAGGACATTTACATATGCAACCCTAGCATCCCTTTAAGCTCCCTTTAAAAAGTTCTTGTAACATTTTCCTTACTGTTTGGCCTTTCTTTTCATTTCCTCGGTAGAAAACACGTAACAAACCATAGATGTAGAAGTCTGTAACCTTGCAACAAACCTCTAATATTTTGTATACATCCTCCAAGTCTGAATGCGCAGTGTGGACAATGCTGGGAAATCCTGTCGTCTGCCCAGATGAAGTACAGAACAGAAAAGAGTTCTCTGACTACCACACTAGGAGTTTTAGACGTCCTAAACTCAGACAGAGAAGACTTCTGCCCACAAATAATTTGAAGTCTTCATTGGGTTCAAACTCAGCACTTCCACAGCAAATGGCAAGMGGAGCCCTACCTCCTACAGCAGAGGTGTCCACAAAGTTGTCAGCTGCAGAAATCAGTGCTGAGTGTCCTTGGCTTTGAAAACACAAATAGGACCTCACCTCCAGAGCCTTTATCACAGCTTCTCATTCAGCAAATACAGCAYATCTTTTCCCAATAGTACAGCAGTTGGTCTTAGCAGAACACAAAACCAAAAGGTATTCATGGCAGGAATTCCAGTCAAACAGTATTTACATCACAAAATGCCCATGAAAGAAAAACACCTCTAGACTTGAGATTTACACAAATAATAAAAAAACCTTCAGTCTGTAAAAAAAAAAAAAAAAAAAAAAAAAAAAAAAAAAAAAAAAAAAAAAAAAAACAAAAAAAAAAAAAAACAACGACCAAAAAAACCCTTCAAGAGCCTAATCTCAAATGGAAAAAATGTACTAATTCTTTCCCCATATCCAACAGCCCCATACTATCAAAACCAGCTGATTTTTTTTCACCTAAGTTTTCCAGTAAAAAAATCCATCCATACATACATACATATATATATATATATTTATTAAAATTACCTGGATGCAGACACCACGCCTGGAAARTTTCATTGCAAAAGGTTTAAAGTTCAGAAAGTTTGAAAGACTGAAAAAGGAAAATCAGATTAAGAAGTGTGCAAAAACTTAACCTTGAGGTTTGCCGCTGCCTCCTGTCTTTCTCTTACCATTTCCCTCCACATCTGAAATGAGCTGACTAAACGTTCCTCCAAGTTATCAACTGAATTACTTGAATGAGTAACCCAACCAAAATATTTTCTAGTACCAAATGAAACACATTGCCATAACAAAATAAACTAGAAATGGTAGTTGAGTACTGGAGATTATAACATTCCCGATAAATTATCAGGAGACCACAGCAGTGATCTACACAGCTTAGTAGAGGTAAATTCGCCGAGACTTTCTTTTTTCCTTTGAGAATATCGATTTTTATATGCTAACACAGCTGCCTAACTATTGATAAGAGCAATCTGCAAAAGCAAATATAGAACTAACAGAACAGCCTTGAAAAGCAACCACAAATAAGGGTCTCATTTAAATTCCTGGAAAGCACTGCTTCTCTAAACGTATCTATACAAGCTCTCTTGAGCAGGCGAGCCTAAAACACACCCTGCACACTCCCCGCCCGAAAAACTGTTAAGCCAAGAAGCCACTAAGCCATGCCACTGAGAGCCCATATGGCTTCACCTACAGGGTTTTCCTTCCAGCAAACGCTGCACAGTAGAAATCCTCCCCTTCACCATCACCACCCACCCCCCAGGAAAGAAACAAAAAAAAATAACAAAAAAGAGTAGCGCTCTCCACGCGGGTCGCCCCTACGTACCGCCGGGCGCTCAGGGCTCTCTGGGGGCCCTGCCCCCCGAGGTGCAGCAGCCGGGGCGGTGCGGGCGCTCCGCCTCGCCGCGTCCCACGCGGTGCCTCTCCCCCCGCATGGTGGTGGCCGCCGCACGCACAAAGCGCAGGGAGCGAGCGGCGGCCGGGGGCGAGCGGCACCCGGCTCGGCCGGATCGCGGCGGCAC